AGAGTTATAAGAGTAAAACATATTAACATAGGAAATGGAATTCTGAAATACTTACTGTTGCGTCAGATAGTTACAACCCAGTAATGGTCATACTAAGTACCACCTAAAAGTTAAAAGGAACACAACAACAGAAAATGTGACTAAAGGGGAAACTTTAGCTTGAGTTACAGAAACTTAGACAAACACACTCCTTCCCATCCTCACTGCACATTAAGTTCTACCAGAAATACCTCTGTCCTCACCTCAAAACAAAGCTGTCCTTGACCATAAGGATACTGCAAGAAACACAGTCCACATTTTCTCTGGAACCTCAGCCCACCACTGTCATGATATACTTTCATTAGCTTGTTTCCCAAAAAAGCAGAAGTCAGTTTCCAAGATACTCACTTTCACGTGTAGTTCAGAGGTACACTAATACTTCAAGTCTTTCCTTTCCAGAAAGAGAACAGCAAAAAACTGGGACTAAGAAGTGCATCTACAAAGGCCATAGAAATATTAGGAAAGCCAAGGTGCCAGTGACCAACTCCCCCCACAACAAATTGTCAGGGAGCATGGAATAACCCCTGTGAAGAGTACTTTATCTTCACTGTCAAGACAGTAAGTTTGTCACCTTAGCAACTAAACTTTTTCTCAGGAGCCACTACTGTGCTGCAATCAAACTGTCAAGGAGAATTAATCAAAAGTCTTTGCTGATGTTTAAAGTGCAGTTCTACTCAGAAAAGTGAGGGGGAAAAATCCCTGCAAAACAGCATTTTTAGTACAATTGTCCCTTGTGCAACTGAACAATAACTGCTGATTTCTATAACAAAAGATGTTATTCCTTGTCACCCTGCGCCTCTTGAATACGGTGGGATGTAAATCTAATTAATAAATAAATATTACAGTACAGGTAGGGGAGAAGGAGCTGGTTCCACTCTAGTTCATACAAGCATCTTCAGAAATTCCAATGGTGAGTTCCTGCTATGCAGTTTTCCCAGTTCAATCAAACTGCAGATAAGTAGAATTTGGCCTACAGAATTAATAAATATGCATAAAATAGAAGAACCCTGTTAAGCTTAGAGATCTCAGGGTGAAATGGCAGTTGCATTTTTCCCCGCTTCTAACAGGAATTATTTTCTCTGGAAGTCACTAAGATAAAGCATGAAATCATTTGTAAATTTCCTTTTTGATAGAACAGCATCAACTGGTGTTTATACAACCTGATAAAATTTCACTAATATATGCCATCACCTGCACAAAATGCCTTAAAAACAACCAAACAACAACAGCCACCAAACAACAACAAAAAATCACCAATTTTCTTGCTAACTAATAATAGTAAATACGGAAGTCAAGGGCTCCTTTCCTCCTTTGCACCAGCAGTAATAGAATGTGTATTGCCAGAAAAGAAAGGGAGTGTTCTTCAAGTTATGGGGAATATCGCTAGTTTTCTTCATCAAAACATTATATTTAAAATAAATAAATAAATCAAATCAAATCGCTCCTTGCTCCCCTTGCCACAACTTGTTTATAGTAAAGTCACAAAGATAAGTTAAATTCCAAAGGATTCTGGCGTTGCGCTCAAAAAACAACACCGTCTCAACCACGATTTTGACTTGATGCTAAATTATGACTTAGAGCAGGGGTAGGCAATTATTTCAGCTAGAGGGCCGCTTAATGAGTTTGGTGAGCTGTCAAGGGCTGCATGGGTAGTCCTGCCCCTTAACAGGTGCCCCGCCCCCTGGCTGCCATCTTGGGACCAGAAGACCTTTGCCACCAGAAGTTCCTCCCCTTGTCCCTGGAAATACTCCTTTTGGGAGGGGGTTTGCCATCTTAGAACCAGAAAATACCAAATCATGCACTAAAAAAGTCAAACACCTACTATAACATATTTTAATTTTATTACAAAAAATATTTTTGGCATGATCTGTGTTTGTGTACTGTGTGTCAAGGTGATTGCATGAAACTCAAAAATAAATTCTTAGTCTTTTATAGTGCGCGTCTGGTTTGAGGGAGGGTGGGAGAGGTGTGGGGACACCTCCCACACTCCCCCAATGGCGCAGCAGCAGGCAGGGGTGCTGGTGCTTGGCTCTGGCCAGTACTGCAAATCACAGCAAGGAGCACAGCCCCCATCGGGCCATTTGTTTCCCCTGTAATCACTGGGCCCAGGAGGGAAGCCCAAAGTGCTGGAGCTGGCTTCTTTCCCCACCCCAGCCCACTTCAGTGCCTGGGGCTTCCCTCCTGGGTCCCTCGAGTGCGGGGAGCACCGGGAAAACAAACAGCCAAGCAAGGGCTGCACTCCTTGCAGCTCTGGCCGGAGCCAAGAGCCAGGCCAAACAGAGTGCCAAACAAAATGTTCCCCCCCACCCGCCCCCACTGCTGCTGCCCCCGCTGCCTGCCAGGGCTGCAGGCCGGGGGGGGAGAGGGGAGAGAGTGTGGTGGGAGGGGTCCCAACACCCCTCTCCTTACACCCACACCCTGTCCACCCAAGCTCTGCGCTGCTGCTGCAGCCAGCCCCAGCCTCATGCCCCCTCCCCCTCTTCCCTACCTGCTGCCTAGAGGGAGCAGGATGCCAGGGAATCCTGCAGCCCCACCACACCCCATGCTAGCTCTTCCACCCACGAGGGTAGGAGCGAGGCATAACAGGATCTGTTGAGGGCTGGTGCCTCTCTCTCACCCTCGTGGGTGGAAAGGCTGGGCAGAGCACAATTCATTGTGTGGGGAGCTGCGGGCTGGATGGAAGTCCCTGGCGGCCCAAATCTGGCACACAGGCTGTATTTTGCCTGCCCCTGACTTAGGGCCTGTTCATACCAGCCACTGTTCCTCTCATACCAAGGAGCTGGTTTGCTTCAAAATGATATCTTAAAGACAACACAGACTTAATATTAAAATAGTCACTAACCAGCATAGATAGCAATACACTAGAAGGCCTATAATCTCATGTGGAGTAAGATCTTAAAATGTGCCTTACTGAATCAGATTTTACTGTTATTTGAGACTCTGTATACGAAGACAGAAAGTGCACCTGAGTTGTTGCAACATCTGGTACACTGCCAGGATCAGAACTTCATCCTTACTGTTCTGTGCTTCCTTACAAGTGCAGATCTCAATACTCTTTGAAAATATTAAAAAAGAAGCCTTACAACACCATCAGCACTTGCCATCAATCGGAGGGAAAAATGGAGGCAAGACAACACAGAAGTTCGTAGCAGATTAGGGGAACAGTAGTCACGTACAAAACAAAAAACAAAACTACAGGCACTCCTCACTTAACAACCGAGTTACGTTCCTACGACTCGGTCATTAAGCGAATGGGTCGATAAGTGAGGAGCTGCCCCTTACCGACCACAGTCGGCCCCCAGGGAAACAGCCGGGGACGGGAAGGCGCTGGCCATGGCGGTGAGTCCTGGCCGCTGCCCTCTGGGTGGATGCTTCTCCCCCCTCATGGGTTCGTGGAGCCGGCTGGAGGGTGCTGGGCTCAGCTCCACGTCCCCCTCAGCTTGATGCTGAGATGCCGCGCTGCTGACCAGCTCTAAGACTCTACGGAGAGCTGGTCGTAAGTCCACGCGGTTGTTAAACAGGTAGGTCGTTAAGTGAGGAGTACCTGTACACGCAATCTAGCCTTACAGTTTAGTAGTAGTAGATAAATAACTGAATGTGACATTTGGTGCTATGCCACTATTGATGAGAAGCATGTACCTACTGGGTCAGTCTGACAGGTATTTTCTACAGCTTCTTGCATATTTATTTGTTAAGGAGGAAGAAAGTTTAGTGTTCAGAGTCCCAAGTAACTTATTAACCTTTAAACAAGAGCCTTTAAAACACAGCGTGTCACATTATGTCTGCTCCCCCTATCTGTGGAACATGAGGTTGATTAAGTCCATTTTCAGTGCATCAGGAAGAAGTCCCCTGCTGGGAATAGCATGCCTAATATTCCAGTTACATGACTACTGAGAATTCTCGGAAACACTTCATTGAGGGGAGAAGTAGTCAGGAGTCAGGCACAAGTTTTACATTTCTTAACGTGAGCTTATCCAGAGTACTCCCACCAAAATTAGAATTCTGCCAGTGTCTTTAGTGTTACTGGTATGAATCATCTGATATTTTTACATCCTATGTATAGAGGGAACTTTTTACAATATTTCAGTTTGGCTATGCAAGATAATGTTATTTTTCAAATAGCACAAGTGATTAGTTGACTACACTGGGCCAAGACTTGTGTTTCATAGCACTGACTGCTAAAATACAAATGGTTGCAAACCTGCTCATCAATCTATTGACTAGTACCAAGGAATGAAATGCTGCAGAGGGGTTGGAGACATCAATTTATTTTTTTAGAAGCAACTTCCAGCATCTCAAACAGATGCACTGTTATTGAGAAGACTAGCATGAAGAAATGCAAACAACGAAGCTGATTAACCAACCCTAAGCTTGTAGTTCTTGGAAGTCATTAATCCTTCACATTGAAATCAAGCATAATACAAGCAAGAACTGAAGCAGGTTTTCCCCAAAGAGCTGCATCAACACACTGCAAACTCAACCTGTAAACCATCCCATAGCTCTGCCAATACAGATCACTCCTAACCAATAGCACCCTCTACCACTCCAGTTCTGGGTTATGCCTCTCTCTACCAACACAGACTCCCCTTTTCAGCTGTCAGCCCAACCAGGTACACTTTCCCCCATCAGGTGAAGTCCTAGGCTCCTCACCAATGCACATTAATCCTGACCTTGAGCACCTTCCAACTATTCCAGCCTGTACCAGTCTCTATTACGCACTCCCTATTGCCCCAGACTGCACACTGC